AGAGAAGTGACCCAGACATCCTTGAGACATGTGAAATCTTCTTTATTTACAGTCAGATCATCTGTCAGTCTGTCTGTCCCTGGGGGCTGGGAAAGACACAAACCCAATTTAAATTAGCACTGCACAGGGAGGGGACAAACCCCTGGAAAGAGCAAGAGCAAAGGGTGGAGTTTAAATAGTTATATACAGGGGTGGTGGGTTATGTACAAGCCAAAAGCGGTATCCAGTTTGTCCACATGAGCTTGGCAGGAACGGGCTGGCCCTGGGACATGTGGAGATCCAAAGGGGGTGGGAGATGAGCCCCATGTCCTGCCACCCACCCAGCCATGGATCACTGAGGAACCGAGGCCTGACACTTTCCATCTCCCTGCTCTGGAACAGGAAGTGCTGGTCACTCCCCCAAAAGAGATGCTACCCCAAAAGGAAGTGATACTAGCCAAGATGATCACCCTTCCCTCTCACAACCTCCATTTGTGCCTGCTCCAGAGGAACATAAAGGCATGAGGGAGGAGGGGTCTCTCCCCAAACCTTCCTCCCAAGCAGTTCCTCAAAAGTAGCCCTAGAAGAGGAAAAAAAAAAGAAGAGAAAGGAGGAAGATGATCCCCAAACCCATTCCACCCTCACCCAAGATATGGGGTGGTGCCCCAGAGGCACAGAAGCCCAGGGGCACAATAGGAAGGGGATGCTACTATGGTGGTCAAACCCATCCGCAGGGAGGGAAGGCCCTGGGGCCTTCCTTGTCCATTGTGCCCGAGGGAGATGCGAGAGGTTCAGGATGGGGCTGCCCTCTTTCTTTGGGAATGTGCAACCAGACTACCCAAGGAGCAAGGGGAAGAGCAAACAGGAAGCAGCTTCTGCCACCACCATCAGCAACAGCCCCTGGGCCTCCCCAGCACAGAGGCACCAGCTACAGCCCTAGGGTGCCCCACAAAAATGCTACATTTGGTCCCTTGACCGAAGACAAGCGGGGGGCAGGGGGTGCTGGGTAAGGGAACGGGGAATTTGGGGCCCCTCATCAGCCCCCAACATAGATCGTGGAATGTTCTGCAACCTCCTACTCATTTCCAGCACACCCACCACACATGCAGACATCACAGCTGTGCTCCCCACTCCCTCCTCCCGCTCAAGAGAGACGAGGGACTGCCCAAGGGCTCTTCAGTGACCAGAACTACCGTTTCTTCCTCTCGCGTAAAGGCTAGCGCCACTGTCAGCCATCTCTTGTTTGAGAGGTGGATCCCAGCTGAGCCACTGTGGTTTGGCTTCCTCTTTGTCCATGCAGGGCTACCCCTTGAGCCAGTCCCTGGTCTTGGCAACAGGTTCCAGCTGAGCAACTGTTGTCCAAGTGTTCCTGGCATCGGCAGGGTCATGTCCTCCTAGCCTCAGGGTTTCATCAGTCAGAGACCTCTTCCTTGCGAAGCCCACCTGCCCTTCCTGGCTTTGGCAGAGGTGGGGGAGAAGAGGAGCATGACCACGGTGAGGGGTTCAAAGAGAAGGCTGGACGGTCGGAAGATAGCTGGAAGGAAGCAGTAGGGCAAGGGGCCCTGCACATGGTGTAGTGCTAGAGGGGGGATGATGGCGACCAACCGGAGGGAAACGTTGGGTAGGAGGCGGCTCAGGAGAAGTTCTGGACCGGGTGGCTGACTTTCATGCAAGCCCAATACATGGCCCGGCCCAGGCATACCACAGCTAGAAGAATGACCAGTGCCCAGGAGGCATAGATCCCGCCATATCGACGGGCGTGCTTCCACGTGCCAAACTGTAGAGACAGAAAGACAGCCAGGGTCAGAATATCCAGCCAGCAGCTTAGACCAGGTGAGCCCCAGGTTCCAGCCCAACTCTGGAGGGAGTGGGCATCTACTGCTCAGCACAAGAGATAAGGAACTAGGATTCCTGCTTCTGGTCCCAGATGCCTGAGAAGAAGGGATTTCAAGTCCCCACCCCTGGGTAGGCCAAGACTCAGCCCCAGCTCTCAGCCCTGGGAGGAATGAGGGGAAGAGGACTGAAGCACCAGCAGTCCCATCCTTTCATCTAGACACTCACTGCTAGGCCCGTGGCAGTTGCAGCCATTATTACACCTAGGAGAAAGCAGCAGATACATCTCTTCCGGGGATACCTGCGCCCAATAGACGATCTGGAAGAAAACAGAGCGGAGCGTGAGATGTCCAACCCCTATTCTAAACCAACTGAAGTCTCATTCCTTTTCCAAAGCTGGAGGCAGAACGCAGAAGACCTGGCTCCCAGCCCACAACACAGCTCAATTCACACAGTTGCTGCATTCCCTGGACCTCTGGGGCCATTACATGGATTCGAACAATCCCACCCCACCAAGCAAGGCTCCCTGCAGTCTAGTCCTGCACAGGAACACGGGGTCCAACTGTAACAAGCGATAAGTCACTTACACCTTACGGCAGTGTGGGCAGCGGGCTAAAGTGCGGTCTGTGAACTCTGTCCACTGGAAAAGAAGAGATGCAAGAGGAAGTTTAATATACACTTAGGACTTTCCAAGCTTCGACACGCCTAATCCATTATAGTCCCCTCTCCTTTTTAAAAGGATTGAAGGATAAAAACAAGCAAAGACTACCACAGGTTTTAAGATAAATAAACCTTTCAAATGAAGTCTAAATGTAATGCAAATATATTACAGCCTAAACTAAGGAGTCACCTTACATAAGAGCCTAAGAACTGCCCTTTATTCTCACCCAGAATCCTGTGTCAGTCAGTGGCAGGGAGTGGATGCTGAAAGGGAATAACCAGTGAATTGGGTATAACCAGGGTCCCCCCACCCCACAATGCTCCACGCTCACTCATGGCCTCCAGCATTTAAGGTCTAGGAGGTGCTGATTCAGAGGCTGCATCATCCCTAACTCCCGTGCTCAACAGCTAGCGATACCCATTTCCTCCAAGAATTTATCCAATCCTCTTACCGCTCCCCATTTCAGACACGTATACACACAAAGACGCACACACTTTTCATCCCATCCAGCGCACACCAACTGCTGGAACTTCCTTAGCCTGACGAAGGGTTTTTGAACCCGAAAGCTTGCTTAATAACTATTCTCCAACTACTTGGATTGGTCTAATAAAAGATATCAGATTCGCCCGAGGAACCTTGTCTGCCTGTGTCCTTAGACCAACACGGTTACAACACACACACAACCCCTACACACACACAGGTATTATGTTCAGGCCTTCATCCAGAGAAGAATACAAGGGCTGAGCTCACACACACACACACACACACACACTCTCACTCTCTCTCTCAATGTTCAGGGCTTCATCCAAAGAATACAGGGGCTGAGCTACAGAGGACAACACACTAATAAAGTTGGCACAAGGCTCAAGATCCACCCTCTGACACCAGGAGGCACCGTCAGGATCATCCGCCGAGCCCATACTTCTCCTTACCCCAGCAAGCAAACACGGCAAAATCATCCCAAATTTAGCATTGAAGGTTTATTTACTTGTAACCAGGTGTGCATCAACCAAATGATACAAAAAACTAGAACTCTTGGTTCCAAAACGATACCTTTTGTTAGACCAACTGGAAAATGGCAAGAAAACTGTCCTTTTCTGCAAGCTTTCGGGACACCGCTACATGATACAGCACTTTTTACTTTGTGTGCATGCGTGCGTGATGATGCTTTGCACCTGGATTGAAATCTACCGGGACAGACTCGTACACCCACCCTCCGCGTGCGGGCTCGCTCTTCCCGCTCCCTGCAGGGGGTAGTATATCTAGACGCCAATTGGGAACCTGGATTTCTCCGTCCCCTTCTCCTCTTGGGCCCCAGCTTACCAAGAAGGTGTTCTTGCAATGCCCACAGATAACACGCACTCCCACGGGCTGAGGCTCGGGGCTCAAGGGGCCGGGGTGCACCGGGCCCAGGTTAATGATTCTTTTACTGCGGGCAGAGAAAAACATGCATTTAACTTCCCGGGACCGAGATGCACCCCATCCCCGAGGCTGGCCTCCGTCCTCGTGGTGTCTCACCAGTACGGCCGGGGGCAGGCGATGCGCTGAGACGTCACCTTGCAGATGAGCAAGCAGTTGCAGGGGCACCGCACGTACTTCTTCCCCGGCGGCGCGTTCTTGATGGGCTGGGGGCAGGGAGGGGATTCGGGTGAGCGCCCGCACCCGGCTCCGGAGAGGGGGATCCCGGGGAGGGGAGGGGGGGGCGGCAGGGACTCACGGTGGCCTCGTTGCAGACGCTGCACTTGACCACGTGCTGGTGCATCTTGCCCTCCACGTTGATGAGGCTCTGGCAGACGCGGCAGGTGATCATGGGGGCGCTGCCGCTGTCGGGGCTGGTCAGGGGCGAGTAGGGCGGCGGGTCCTCGCCGGGCAGCACGGCCGGGTGCCCCTCGGGGAAGGGCGGGAAGCCTGCGAAGGGGGGGTGGGG